AGCTCGCTGACCGTTCCCCCCCCCCCTCCACCCAGGCGCGCAACTCCGAAAAAGCCCAGTCCATGCTCTTCCGCTTCCGCGAAGCCCAAGCCGCCGACCTCGGAATCATCGACGCAGGCCGAACCCGCCGTCCCCGCGCCATCACCGAGCAAACATCCATCCCCGCCTGCGAGAAATGGCGTGGCCAGGTCCTCAAAGAAATCTCCCGCAAGGTCTCCCGAATCCAAGACATCTCTCTCTCCGACTACCAAATCCGCGACCTGAACGATGAGATCAACAAGCTCATGCGGGAGAAACACATGTGGGAGATCCAAATCAAGAACCTGGGCGGGCCAAATTACATGAGGGGTGGGGGGAAGGTGTATGATGAGGCTGGGAGGGAGATTCAAGGTGGTGGGAAGGGGTATAGGTATTTTGGACGGGCGAAGGAGCTGCCGGGGGTGAAAGAGCTGTTTGAGGCGGCGACGAAGAAGAGGGAGGAGGATGAGAAGCCGTTGGAGGAGAGGACGGATTTGAATAGGAGGAACGTGGATGCGGGGTATTATGGTTATGCGCCTGGGGAGGAGGATGAGCTGTTGCTGGAGTATGAGAAACTCAAGGAGAAGGAGGCGTTTGAGGCGCTGAGGAAGGCGGGGAACAAAGAGGCACCGCCGGGGTGGGAGCCATTGCCGGGTGATATTGGGGATGGGAGAGTGTGGGAGTTGCCGACGTTGGATGAGGTGCAGCAGGAGCTGATTGACAGGAGGAGGGCGAGGTTGTTGGATCAGTTACAGTAAATCGGCGTTGGAGAGGTGGGCTAGTGGATATTGTTGGTATTTCGACATCTTCATGGTTATGTCTGGCGTTCAGGGGCACACAGGGCGGACTATGAGGGTTTCTCTGCCAAAATGACTTTCCAAAATTTCTGTGTATTATCTTCATTAGGTGTAATTGTATATACCGCACCACCAATCATTATGCATGCAACCAAACGGACTCCGAATACTGTGTGTCTGCCTCAACTGATACCATACCATAACAACGTAAAACGCGTAAACATCCATACTGTATGTGCTCCATTGTCTTGAATAAACGCCCTCGCATAACGAATGTCCTCCCAAAACAATCAACACTTCGCCGGCCAATTGTCCTCGATCCACCCGGCGAAAAGCTCCGTAAACGTCCCCTCAACATACAAACTGACGTCCTTGTCAGTATACACGGCTCCGCTAAACTTCAACGCCATCAACACCCAAGGTTGAATAAAGTTGAAGAACACCAAATCAACCGTCTCTGGCTCGCCCTCTTCCGGGAACGACAGCTCGCTCTGGATGCAGTTGGGGACCACGTAGAAGTTGATCCTCGAGTGGAGGGCGTCGTCACCATCGTCGCCGATATCATCCCGGGTGGTGTATCCCTCAACCAAAAAGGGCTCCTCATGCCCATGCTGACCCATTGGCTTCTGGATACCGTCTTCGGAGAAAGGGTTGGCAGGGGTGTCGTAGATGATGGACTCCCTGGTGGAAAGTTGCTCGGGGATGGCCATGAACTCGTTGTCCATATGAGCGTCAGCCATGATCTTCCCGGCGTTATTGAGGAGCTTGATGACTTTCTTCGCGGCGTGGTAGGGGACATCGGAGATGTAGTTGAGAACGCTGAGGAAGGGTGAGGTGATGTATGTCGAGTCCCGCGTGAAGGCCCCCTTGAAGATGTCGAATCTGATAGCGCCTGTGTTGGCGATCACCAGTCTGGGGACGTCCTTGCGCTTTGGGTTGACTGCGATATCCGGAATGACCTCCTCCTCGAGCAGGGTGTAAATGCTGTCAGGTCCTGGATACGGCGACCTCGTCATCCAGTAATCCTGTGGCGCGCAACCAAAGGTGTAATCCAATTCCAGCTCCTTCCTCGCCTTGGCAATCATAGACGTGACGTTCTTGCCATGCTCGGTATGAAAAGTCGAAGCATTCAGCCCGCTGTGATGATACAACCCAAGGAGGTTGTTATCGATATACCTCCGATGAAAACTCAACCCCCTCTCCCCCTTTGGATCCTCCTCGGCCTTCTTGATCGCCCCGTCAACACTCATCCACCCAATCGTCTCAAAATACCGCCCACTCGCCATCGCAAAGCTCCTCTCATCATAGCTCGTCGCATCCCTGACATGAACATGGCCCCCAAAAAACAAAATCGGCGCATCCCCATTCCACCTCCTAATCTCCCCAAAAACCGTCTTAAACTCCTCCATCTGCACCCCTACATGCCCAATAACCAGCCACAAATCCGGCTTCTCCTGCTCCCTCACCAACCGCTGAAACCATTCCTCCCTCACCACATCCCCAACCCTTTTCACCACAGTATTATTCGCATTCCCCCCAAAATCAAACAAAAACCCCATCGCCACCACCTCCACCCCTTGATTCTTCGTCCTAAACCTCCTATACCTCTGCGCCATCTCCACCCTCTCCCCATCCCCCTTCACGTAATCCAAATTGCTAGCCACATACCTCCCCCTAAAATTCTCCACCGTCCTCTCATACTCCCGATCCGCCGTGCTCGCAATATACAGCTCGTGATTCCCCGTGCAAATCACGTCCACGTCCTGCTCCTTGTATATATCGTAGTAGTACTTCCCCTTCGGACTGCTCGCGTCATACAGCCCGTTCCCCTCCACCCGGTCCCCCGTGTCGACAAGCAAGAGATCGACTCCCAAATCATCCGCCTTTTGCCGCATGTGCTCCGCAAAAGAGACGTAGTCCCCCCAGTCAGCCGAATATTGTGACTCCTGAAGATGGCCAGCGTGCCAGCCGTGCGTGTCGGTCGTGTGCAAAAAGTTTAGTTTGCCCCAGACGAGGTCTCGCATCGGGGCGGGGATCGGCCGCGCGGCTCGCGGTTGCGCCGCGGTCGCGGGGTTGGCGGCGAGGGTCGCGAGGACGGTGCCGATGATGGTTGTTTTCAGGCCCATCTTGCCGGTTGCCGGTTGGAGTAGGTTTGATGCGCTGCTCGTAGTCGTCAATTGATCAGAGTCGTTCCGCGCGCATCGCTGACGGTCAGCGCGTTGGTGGTTGCCAGGGAGAAGTGGCGGCACCCCTGAACGAGAACCTCTTTGGCCTGCAGGTCTTGGCGTTGTCACGGCTGTCGCCCATTGATCACATGGGCCGTCAACTGATGACAGTTGATAGGTAGGTGCCATGAAACACATAGAACCCCAAGTTTGAACAGGTTGAACTGATAGTTATGGTATCACTACGAAGTACTGGTATCATAGGTATAGAAATCTAGGCAAACCGCCCCCTGAAAACTCCTTGACCTGCCAAACCCCAATGGCTGAAGATAGTTAATACAACAACCCTCCCCTTTCTCGGGGGCCATTCAAACCTCAACAATCTTCACCCGTCCCCTAGTCTCCTCGGGAAGATCCTCCAACTTGATCAAACCAAGTTGAACACAATCACCCAGGAAAAAGTAGGCTCTCGACTGTGTATATCCAAGATAATCAAACGCATCGGCATCCTCTTCAGTCTCCTCCTCGGTTGGAGTCACATCCTCCGCCTCGCCATCCGAGGAAACCTTCAAACCAGGAATCTTAGCCTGGACAAGACCCCACGCAACCCACTGGGCGCTGTTGGCTGTGCGCCAGAGTTTGGTCTCCTCCATCAGCTCCTTGACTCGCTTCTCCGTTGCCGCTTCCCTCTTTCTCTCCTCCTCCTTCCACCCACCGGCTGGGACGCGGGCATCCAGCATAAAGTCAGCAATAGAGGTTGTAGATCCCGCCGTGTGAATAGAAGTTCCTGGTCCGGTCCCTGTGGGTGTCGTGGCGGGCGTGCTTTTGGCAGAGTCAATATACGGGAACCTAGGCCTATGATCGACATAGGCCCTGATAAACCGGCGCTGCTGGTCAACGTTGGGATACTTGGCGGTGTCACAAACATGAGGGTACCGCGCGTCATGATAGTCGTATGTCCATTCGGAGAAATGGTTGGCAAACTCAAGTCCTGGAATGTTGGCACCGGCATACTCAAAATCAATAACAACCAATTGCTTGTGCTCGTTGGCGGGCTGAAGAAGGGGTGATTTCTGATCGTCCGGACGGACGCGGAGAATATTGCCGTATTGAGTCTGCGCACCAAACATCAGTAGCTGGAAACAAACACCTTTGGGGCATACAACTTGCGTCGTTGTGTGCAAAGACAAGCTTCTCTCTGATCTTCTTCGGGTTGCCATACTGGCCATCAAGAAACTGGCGATACTTTCGGACCAGCTCCTTGAAGGCCGGCCATTCCACTCCGCAGACATAACCCTTCTTCTTCCAGCTGTCGCTAGGACCACGAGACAGGTCGTTTGGCCCGTCATTGTATTGCTTGTCAAGGAACAAAACAGTCTTCTCGACTTGGGCAAGCCACTTGTCCCAGTTTCTCCAAACACTGGGGCCAAGGTCCTTCTCTTCCTCCAACAGCTCCACGCCGTCATGAAGCTCCCTCATGCGCTTAGCAATCTGTCTGGAGGTATCCGGCTCCCGCATGCTTTGCGAAGTGAGCGCAGCAGCGTTGAGGTATTGCTCAAACCGACCGTTTAAAAAAGTGCCAAGCAGGCGAGGGCCAATCTTCTTTCTGGCCAGCCTTCTAAGCACGCTCAGCTCGTTTTCACGGTCGATGAGGTGCTCCACCTGGGGACCATAGATTCTTAGCAGCACCTTGCCCGGCGTCTTCTTGCCCTCGGCGGGAAGCAGTGCCGATTCAGGGGGCGGCGAGACCACATACACAGCGTTTGTCAATGCGCCGCTGAGACGTTCAACTGAGATCTGCTCTCCGCTGTCAAGGGGCACCCTCCTCCACCCTTTGAGCCTCAGCGTGTGTGCCAAACGAATGATTTCATTCTTGAACACAGTCCAAGCTTGCTTCTCTTTATCCTCCCTGCGGCTAGAGATAGAAGCGTTGTCGTCGGCCGCCTTGCCTCCAGTGTAGCTCATGGTCTTGGAGTTGTCGAGGGCCGCATCACAGCTGGGAACCACAACATCACCATCGAAAAATTCCGTGTCCGATGATGCCGCACCTCTGAGGCTCCTACTAGACCTCTTCCGGTGCTTCTTGCTTAGACGAGGTCCTAGGTGAGGAACAGACCCCAGTCCCAAAGCCGACATGCTGTCGTCGATAATCCTCTGAAGTCGATCAAGAGACACTTCACTCGAATCAGACTCGAGAGAATCGGCACGAGGACGACCGGCTTCAGGCGTCTCTGGAGGTGACTTGCGGCGCGAAGAATGCTTCCGACTCTTTCTAGACTCCTTCTTGGCTTTCTCTCGGTGGAGCCATTCAGCCACCTGAGCTACCAACTTCTCACTCACGCGATCAATTCTATGGCGGTGGTAGGAGGCGACGCCACTGTTTTGAGGTTCTTCAATGAGTGCCGGAGAAGCAGTGAGCTCGGTTTCGCCGGCAACATCGATGCTGGGAGTCTGGCTGAGAGTCGAGGACCTAGACGGCGTGGCAGACAGACCAGGGCGTCCACTCAGCCTCCTGCCAACGCCTGCAGGAAACTGCTTCTTGACTGAGGCCTCATCGTGAGGCGACGACTCAGGTTCAGCAATCTGAACGGCTGCGAGGTGTCAATATTTGATCACGGGTGACAAAGAACAAAGAAAAACAAGCAGAGCTACGCAGAACAAGTGATAGCTAAACAATGAGGTGAGTGACAGACCTTTGGCCAGTGCGCTCAAGGGCGGGGTTTTGGAACCTTCACCATCATTGTCGTTCTTCAGAGCCGAACGCAGCGGCTGAGCCGAGGGTGCTGGAGAGGGTGCTGGAGAGGGTGCTGGAGAGGGTGCGGACATGTTGAGGGAGTTGTCAACACCACGGACCGGCAACACCCGAGCAAAATACTTTGAAAGCCGGAGTGACGGTTCCCGAGGGCATCCGGGGAGAGATGTAGAATGTTACCCTTGGGCAACGGTCAAGGAGGAGTTGTAGTTGTAGGAGAGGACCCGGTAGATGGGGCGGGCGCTTGCATCGGTTAGGGAAGTGTCTCAGTGACACCGGTATCGCTTCTTCAGCCAAATCCGTATCGTATGATTGGGTATTGCCCTCGTCAAGATAAGAAGGCGTGTGGAATACGTGGGGTAGCGTCCACGCTTGCTTCGCAAAAAGACTAGACGCTGCCGAAGCTCTCGCGAGACCAAGTTGTGTTGTTTAGGAAGCAAAGGGTACGAGCATGTGAAGGGGGGAGAACTGTAGTTGAGCTCAGACGGTCTCGTGCTCAAACCGGCAGGTAGCCTGTTGCGCAATGAAAAAAAGACGGTGTCCCGGCGACAAAAGTCGGGCTTTCAGTGGAGAAAAGGACGAGAGGAATCAGGAACAGGGTCCTCCACCCCATCAATCGCCGAATGGCCCGTGCTTGACCATGACGTAGCTGTCTGCAAGCGAGCAATGCTGTTTTTTGTTTCGAGCTCAGGCCATTTGGCAGAGCCCAATGATGCAATTCAGACCCGAGGGAATGGAAACTCGCTGCCAAGCGCCGACCGACAACCAGTGAGGTTAGGCTGGATTACATGATCTGGAGGATAAAAATAGTTGAGAGATCGGAGCGCTGTTGAACGTTTATCCAACCTGCACCCCAGATCACCACTTCTTTCAGAACCCCTGTCTTCATCCCGCTCACTGACATGACCACCAAACTCCCAAGGGTAATCTGCATGGAATGGCAATATTGTACATTTTAGCTGTTGCAAAATACATCAATAGTACATGGCGTTATACATCCTTGATACGTGCCCATAATTCTAGGCCTTCTTCAAGGGTCCCTTCCACTCCTTCATATGATCCACGATGATCTTGGCTGCTTGGTCGGGAGAGTGCTGTCTGCCGAGCGCCTCCACAAAGTCTCCCTCGGGGTCCATAAGGTAGAAGTAGATGCTGTGGTCGACCAGGTAATCCTGGCCTGGCTTGACTTCGTTCGGCGTGCTGAAATAAACCCGGTAGGCCTTGCACATGGCCTTGATCTGGTCGTATGTGCCTGTCAGACCGATAAACTTGGGATGGAACTCGGCAAGATATTCCTTCAACTCCTTGGGACCGTCACGCGCGGGGTCGCATGTCACAAATACAGGTGCCAGCACACCAGGACGCTTCTCCTCTACCAGATCGAACATTCTCGCCATCTTGTCGAGCTCCTCGGGGCAGATATCCGGACAATGGGTAAATCCAAAGTAGACCTGGAACATAGCTTCAATCAGCATAAGGTCAAAGACTCAGAGGAACACGCCAGCACTTACAAGAGAGTAGCGCCCCTTCAAGTCCTCGTCCGTAACAGTGTTGCCATTCTGGTCAATCAAGCTGAACGGCCCGCCCACCTTGGGCCTTCCAACACCCTTGGTTGACTCTGCTATCCTCTTGCGCTGCATGCGCTCCTTCTCCTTCTCAAAGTAAAACAGGAGCCCGGCGCCAGTCATGAGGAAGAGAATACCAGCCTTCCATGAGAATGGCTACAGCCCCGCATATTAGCTTCCGTCCAAAACACACAACGGACAGGACCGATGCATACCCCAGAACGATAGCGACTTTTTGCCTCCTCCACTGTCTTGAACTTGAATCTCCGTTGAACCAATGGCTGGTAGGTTTGTGTCTGTGGTTTCGGAAGGCAGGATGTCGTCGGTCTTCTGGCAGCCATGTTGCTAGCTGTGGACAGGGATCGTAGGCATTGTCGAGTTGCCGCCCTCGGCAGGACGTTAATTGTGGCACGCATCGCTGGTTGTGACATTTTGGGTGGTTTTGCTGGAGGACCTTGGGGTGACGCCGCAATTGTGCTGGGTGCGGATAAAAGCTCCAAGTCAAAGCTCCCAAATGGCCCCAAAATCTCCTGATTAGGCCATCCCGCGATTCGGTTATATGCATCCAGTCTGACACATGCCCCGCTAAGCCACTAGCACAGCCAATTGAACCCCAGCTGTCAACCAAAAATTCATCTATCGCATGCATATCTTCCTCTGATATGCTTGTAAACATCTCACCTTCGAGTTCATCCCTTTCTTTCTTCATCAATTGATTCTTCCAAACATGCTTCTCTATCTGTAAATTTGACGCTCTGAAAGATTACTCCATCTCACTTCATGTCTGTACAGGCACATTAAGCGTGCCATGTATATAAAGTCACCAACAGAACAGCTGCGCCCCGGCCTGGTATCCCACAGGTGAAGTAACCGATGGCGTTCTCAACGTCTTTTTTCACCCTCGACCCAGAAGCTGCGACGGGCAATAGCAATCAACCATTACCTTCAGACAGTCAAACCACAATAAAAATGGAAAGGTCAAACAGTCCACAGACCGTACGGGAAGAGGAGCAACCCGCAGCAGATTTGCCCACTCTTTCTGCTCAAGCCAATTTTTCGTCCTCTGAAGAAACACAAACAAAGCACCCACCCCCCAGCAGTGAATACGGCTTTGATCAGGACTCGATTGCTGGCGACTCTACGAAACCAACCACGACCAAGCCTCCAGTAAGCAGGAGGAAAAAGGGAACTGCAACCATCATCAAACCACCAAAAAGATCTCGCCCCGGCGGCAATACCAGCATGGGCCCAAAAAAGAAGGCAGGCAAAACCACCAAGAGCGTAGGATCCGGCGCCCCATCACTCAATGGAGATATCGGCAGCGACCTTGCTGGAGGAGCCAGCGAGTCTGACAGCGGGCCGTACTGCCTCTGTCGCGGACCTGATAACCACAGGTTCATGATAGCGTGTGATCGCTGTGAGGACTGGTTTCACGGCGACTGCATCGGCATGGATAAGTGGACTGGCGAGAATCTCGTCCAGAAATACATCTGTCCCAACTGCAGCGATCCCGACCGGGGCTATGTCACCCGCTACAAAAAGATGTGCAGCTACTCAAGCTGCAAGAACGCCGCCCGGGTTGGCGACCCTGAGCGCCCATCCATATTCTGCTCAGACGACCACTGCCAAATGTGGTGGAACGACCTCGTCTGCACCATTCCCAAAGCCCCAAGATCCAAATCCGGCAAACCTACCAGCTTCCTAGACGACCTCACAAGAGAAGACTTCATATCCCTCCTCGACTCGCCTGTCATGGCTTCATACTACCAACAAGCACAACAACAGACCTCCTCCACCCTCTCCATCATCCCCGGCCAAGCAAACCTCTCCCTCCCCCCAGACTTCTGGACCAACCCCCCACCCAACCTCCTCACCCCAGAACAAGAAGACTTCCTCTCCACCTCCCTCGCGAAACGACAAGAGTTAGGCGAGGAGATGCTCCTCTACAAGAAAATGCTCGAGCTCATCAACATCGCCATCGAGCGCAGAGACACCGCCATCTCGTCCCCTTCCACACCCTACAACAAAGACGTCTGCGGTTACGACGTTCGCCTAGATCACATTGGGACGCCGCACCAGTTTTCCCTCTTTCTCCAGACTGAATCGGCGGCTAAAATCTTCAAGAGTGGCAAGTTGGAGGATATGGACGAGGAGGAACAGGCAAAGTGGCTCAAGGGGGAGGATGCGACGAGCGGGAATTACAAGGGGGGTATGTGCACGAGGAAGAAGTGCCCTCCGCATAGACAGTGGAGGGATATACTGGTGAAATGCGTCAAGTATGATGTCAGGGAGCTGACGAGGAAAGCGAAGGAGAGGTTGGATGGGGAGCAGAGGGTGAGGGATGCGGCGGCGGGGAGGTGGTTTAGGAAGGGGATGTTTGAGGGGGATAAGGTGGAGGTTATTGGGGGGGCTATTGGGGAGGTGGTTGGTGGGCAGGTGGATGGGGCGGGGGAGGATGTGAAGATGGGGGGATAGAGCGGCTTGGGTTGGGATGTTGGGATTGAAAAATGGATAAGGGAATGGCATGGTTGAAAACATTTTTAGTTTGGTTGGTAGCGGGTTTGATAGCAGCTTTAATGTTCAGCTTTGTTCTTGCGATCTTGGTGGACCTGTGAACTGTGATTTTCCATATCTCCAGTCTGAGGTTTTGGATATGCTTGAATCAACAAGTAGTATTGGGCTACCAAAGCAGCCATCTTGAGGCTGTAAGGCCGAGCGATAATTATCTAGACAATGTTCTTTAGACCTATCTACCATGTTTCAACTTGGAGTATATCGATACATGATTCTACACATATTCAGAAATACACTTGGCGATTCCTTTTCTCAGTACTTTTTGATGCCCTTGGCTTTCCGGCCACTTCCCTTGCACTCTTGCCACACCATCTGCTTCGTCATGCCTCGTCCTGCCCCTTTTCCCGCCTCAAGAAGCTATTCATTGAAAAACCCCTCCTCCGAACCATCGCAGTACGTAAGGGAATAATATTCTTCGTGGCAAAGTAAAACTTGCAGCCAGGTCGCGGGGCAAAGTTCATCCCTTAACTCAGAGCGCAACCCGAACCCTCTGAAGAATTGCTCCCTGCCCAAACCCCAACCCCTGCCTCTGCCAAGTTTTAAAACTCCAAAAACCCTTTGAAACGATTGTTTCCCTCTCCCTTGTATACCCAAAACTCAAAATCGTCTGTAGAAAATTGTTTGATCCAACACCTTTCCCAACTTTCCCCTTCCCAACTCCCATTGACGATATCCCGACCCCCCTACTGATCCCCAAACACATAACCCTTTCCCTTCATAACCCTAGAGGCCCCCCTATACTGTCTCCTCCCTAAAGTCTCGCAGCAGCTGAACGGAGCATTCAGCTTCCCCACAAACAAAACCATAACCCGCCCCTCCGATCGATGATCCTCTTGCAAGTGCCGGTATCCACACCCCTCCCCCATCAGCCCCTCACTCAGCATTCCATCCCTTGAATCACCACCACCCCTCCTCACCCATAACCACAATCCTTCCCTCGATGCCGTGAGGTATGGACATACATACCGACGGGCCTCTCCTCCCACGTGTGTTACACAAGAATAGAAAAGTGATAGAGAACGGACAATACCATCCCACGTGGCAACGAACAATCCGTACGGGTTTTGACACGCACCACAAACAAAAACAGTTTTCCCGTTTAGGTAAAATATACACAACAGTCTGTAAAAGAAAAACAGCTCCACTCTTGCAGGAAAAGGTGGCAAGTAATAATGAATGACACACACTGAGAGAATTGACACACTGAGGTAAGAAACAAAATCGCCACACTTCAAACAATCCATTTTAAACACCAAGAAGGGGGGGGTGGGAAATATATATACGAAATGAACGAAAGTCTGAAATAGAGCAAAACTTTTGTTACATATAAGAAAACTCTGAAATGAGTGTAATTTTTGTTGAGAAAAGAAAAAAACCACAGGAGAATGTGTTGTGTGTGTAAAAGTGTACATATATATGTGTGTCTGTGTGTGTCGTATTCATCATAAACTTTTTGTTTGTCATAAACCAGCCATTAGCAACCCACCCAATCCCATATGCCATCTGGAGCCTTCGAGTAGTGAGATCAAGTAGACCCCCTCTTCCCACTCAAGAACCTCCCCCAGCTCATCACCTCCCCGCTCTTCTGCCTCCTCATCCACGGCTTCCCTAGCTTCTCGTGATGATGCAGAGACTCAACAGTACTCCCTACTGTCCCGGCCCTCCTCCTCCCCGTAGGGGCCGCTGCTTGAGGTGATGATGTTGATTCGGGCTCTGGAGTGCAAGTCAAAGGCGCACTCTCACTCGCACTCCTCCCCTTCCTGCTGTGTGGGACAAACCCCCTCATCAACCTCTTGGCAAAACTCCTCTTTTTCTTCCTTCTCCCGGAGTCGGCACCTGTTGGGTCGATGTCCGAGTCTGAATCCGAGTCATCCTCGTCAGAGTCGGAGTCGATTTCAAAGACAGAAATATTTGGTGGTGGAGGCGGAGCTTGTCCTAACAGATCGGTGGGTTTGGGAAGGGGGGGTAAAGGACGGGTGTGCAAGTCCGAGAAGAATTTCTGATTCGAGGCCGAGGTGCTGGGTGGGTGTAGCAGGCTTGGGGTGGGAGGAATGTCGTCCGTTGGAGATCGAGAATGTGACTTTACCAAGTCCGCCAAGGTGGGTGATGAGCGAGTGGAAAACTTGGACAGTGAGAGTTTGCGAAGGTTAGCAATAGAAGGACGTTTGCTGATAGACTGCCTCCAGTTAGGAGGATCAGGAAGAGACTTGTCCAGAGGAGATATCGGTGGTGATGCTTCAAAGGTGGATGGCGGTGCTGGCATTTGATAGAGCAATGGAATCGAGGCTGTTGAGCTGGCTGCTGTGGAAGCGTACTGTGCCAGAGTCGGGGTCGTTGCGTTCGACGAGCCAGGCCGGCTGATCGGTGGCGAAATCTGAACATTGGATGAATGCATTCTGGTGTCGATGCTGGGCCGCCGGCTATCTGGTAGAGACGAACAAGGCGATGCCGTATCCGAACCAGGCTGTCGTGGAAGAGACGAAACGCGCAACGGAGAAACCGGAGGTCGTCGTTGAGGTGCTGCAAGAGGGAAAAGTGAATAAGACGGTCTCGATGACACAGATTTTGCGGTAGGAGGCCGTGGTTGTTCCACGCAGGGTTCAACAATGGGCCAAGGAAAAGCCTCGTTCTGGCTGTCGGAGCTAGATGCTCGGCCGCGCGTAGTTGGTCGATCTTCTTGAATCTTCACGGAGCACTGGGCATATCCTTGCCGCCTCGATCTGTCAGTGGGACTGATAGAACGGCAGTGCTCCGATCTATCCCGGCCGCGCCGTCCGAAATACCATAAGGGATCCCACAACCCGGGTCGAGTTCCTGGAATCCCATCCTGGTAGTCGTCGTCCGCCGAGACGACCGAGTCGTGATCTTCTATCATCCCTGGAACAGAACCATCAGATCCAAGGGAATCCCGACCTTCCAGAGGAGCATCGTGGGGGCAGATGTTGACAGAATCTGTGCGGGGCCGAGAGTAGTTCGCTGTCATCTGGGGCTTTGGAGCAGTGTGTAAAAGAGCGGCAAGCTCGGTGGTGTCCGCATGACAGTCCATCTTGGGCCGTCGTGCCACACGTGTGGAAAGTGATCTGAGGGTGTGCCGAGCAGAATTTGTAAGGGAGCGTGATGCTTTTAGAAACGGCTTGCGAAGGAGGCAAAACTTCGAGTTGGGGATAGCCTTGTAATCGAAGGAGTGGAGAAAGGGGCCAGCCATATATGGCAGGAATGAGCCAGAGATTCGGACTCAGCCTTGGTGAGCGCAGCCTCTGGGACGCCACACTCCCTGGAAAGAGCCCTAACATAAACAAAAGTGAGGGAGGAAAAGAGGGTGTGGTGACAAGGAATGAAGGGGTGAGGTCAACACAGCAATGCGGAGGTAAGGTATGATATAGGGGATATGGACCCTTACTGCTTGGGCCCGAGCGGAATGCAACAGGCTCGCGTCCTCCGCTTAGACGGCTGCCATCAGATGACGTATCGGGCTCCGGAGAGAGAGACAGGAGGAAAAAGGAAAGCAAGCAACGGCCCGCCAGGAAACACCACAAAACTTTGTGATGAAAGTTGCCGGGCCGAGGCTGATACACCGAGAAGATGGTTTCTTCTCGTCCGATTTGTTCGTCAGGATGAAGCCCTCACAAACGGATGGCTGGAGATATCACCTGTCCGGGTGATGTTTGTGTATGTGGACATGTCTTGTCCCAGCTCGACTCCATCAAACCACCAACGGAGAACTGTCTCGACGTATCCAGCAATTCCTGCCCCCGCTTCTACAGAGTCAACATAAGAGACTGTAAAAACTTGGAAAGGCAGAGTGCCAATGCCAGTGTCACGACTGGCCGAAGGACCGAGACATGGTGGCCAACCCGCGCATTGCCTCACTACGAAGCGGGTCGGATATGTGATCAGTCATTGCGCAAGCAGAGCCTAGCCCAGCTGCCGTTGCCGTTGACATGCCGCAAAAGGTAAATGCGCCTCGACTTCGAGACAGCTGTCGCCAATCGAAGCAGCATCGATAGGCCGCAGGCAAGTTTGGGACTGCCGTGGCCGTGGGCGGATGCCATCTTCGCGGAGGGATGGGGCCATGGTCCGTTTGCTGTTTGAGCGTGAACAACTCCTCTGTCAGAAATCATGAAAATGGTAACTGCGGGGACGGAAGACAGTGAGAAAAGGGAGACGGTCAGAAGCAAAGAAGAACTGACAACTTTTGCTTCCACTTGGTCCATCTTGTTGAGGGAGGCTGTCGTCGCCCGTTTGGAAAGGGAGCAACCTGAAGTTGGAAGAAGCAATCATCCCCAGTTTGGACTCCACCTTTTCGCTTTCAGCGTCCAATCATTCCTTTTTTGCAGCTGCAACTTATATGTAAGCCTTGTGGGGTTTGCTTTCTTGGCTCGGGGTCGACTGCCGGGTAGCGGGTCCTATGCGCATCCACATCAACGTTGCCTTGGTCTAGGCGTCCAACCTCATTCATGGGAGACGATCCATCACCGCATTCGACTGTCTGTGATAGTGGTGCGTTTGGAATCAAACAGGAAAAGAGTTTTTCCCCCTCCCGTAACCATGCTCTTCCGACACGCTTGCGTCTCATGAAAACCTCCGATTTCGTTTCAACAAAAGCAAACCAGAGACATGCAGCTCTAGTCTCTAGCCAACGGCGACAACGCATTGTTGTGGACAAAATAATAGAAGCCGCTAGTTGAGAAACGGGTGCTGAAATATACTTATCATTGCCTTAAAGATAGGTAATGGGACTTGACTCAGTGTAAATAAACCCCCAAGATAATTCGCGAGGTTTTCCAATGCGATTAGTCGGCATATTCGGCTTCTATGAAGTCTTGATTCTGTACCACAACCTTTATCATTCTGTCCACAATGTGACCGCCCACAAGGGGCGCAGCAAGCAAAAAGCAAAAATTGTCAAAAAACCTACGCGATCTCCAGTCGTGACATTGGAAAAGGGTGCATGTTGCATGCGTAAATCCCCAGATATGGCAACATAAATGCAGGGCTGACACCTTGATGCAGGGAGAAAGACCCCAAGATCGCAAAGGGGGAAAAAAAAAGGAAAAATGACCCAAGAGGAAGGAAAATGTGGCCAGCATGATGTGGCCTGCCCCGTCTGTGGCAAGTGTGTCTGAAAATCCCATCCCAAAATCCAAAAAATGCCATGCTAGAACCCTGAGCTGATCTGTGATACAATCCAGATCTTCCAACGCCAACATCCCATTTGCCCAAACCTAACCGTCATCAAACGCCATGGCTGTCCGCCCATGAAGCCTCCCAGTTTCACCCTCATTTCAGAGGATATTGTGTTATGTGTAATCGGTGCGCCCCTCATCTGCTCGGTTCTGTCTTTTGAATGATCAGGAAATCCTCGTCGTCCTGCTCGGCAAGCGGTTCAGCGCTTGTGTTTGTCCATCGGATAATGCCGTGATAGTCGTCCTCCTCATCTCGTTCCACCACTGCCGCATTCTGTCTCTGCCAGTCCGCGAGTCCCCTGTGTCTTGTGTTTCCTTCCCGGTCCCCCGGGACGGTAGGTGGAGAAGCAGATCCCCTGATGTAGCTGGGCGTGTGCGGCCGTCGTGGAAGCCACAATGTTTTCGCACGGAGAGCAGGCGATGTTATTTGCTGGCCCACGCTGGCACGGACCTGAACCTCAATGTCCGGATAGAGATAGGGCCGATTGATCCCCATCGACTCGAACACATCCGGGAACCACACACGCGCGAGCGGCCACAGCGCTGGTATTGTTGCTGTAACAATTGCCAGGTTCACCTCGATGGTATTGGTCGTGTAGCCAATCGTGTAATGGCCATCGGCCGGTCTAAGATACCAGACGCGAATGACAGAGTAGAGACGCACGATGCTGATGCATGTGACACTGCAAACTGACATTAGCATCATTTCAAATGTCTGGGAGAGCGGTTTCTATCTTACGCGGCTCCCAAAGCAAAGACGGTGAGGAGTGCCGCACGTATCCTCCATCCGAGCCTCAGGTCCTTGAAGGCAACGAACGGAACCAGGAGCGTCAAGATATCGGTGACGATGTTTGTTGAGGCTAGCGCTACTGCAAATAGGCCCGAGTTGAAGCACTTTCCTGACCCAGTCGGCTTCGTCCACACATATTCCACAGGGGTGCAGTTGAAGATCGTCGCTGGGAGGAAGGCGCACACCTGTAGGATGTTGAACAGGATCAGAGCTCGACATGAGATGTGCACGAAGTGTTTGGTCCCGCCCAGCCTGAGGAGAAACAGCAACGCGGATATCTTGACCAAAGCAAGCAGAGGGCTGTAAAAAACGCGGTTGAGATAAGCAAAGAACAGACCCTGATTGGCAGGATGAGGGGGGATGTCGATGTCGTGAATGCCCCAATAGCCGGCTCGCATGTCTGGGTTCATCTATCAGGTGCCTGCCCGGACATTTCAAAAGACATGGCGGACTTACAGAGGGCTGCAAAAACACCCTGCGGAATTGCGAAGCCCTGCGTGAAATGCTTAGCATAGAGCTTTAACATAGACGCGGTAAATGTTATCGCTCACGGTGGCAACAAATATCAAATAGTCGTCTGCAAACACAATTAGTCGTGGACTGGCCATTTCAAGATGAGTGAACACTCACCAAGTCCCAAACCCTGACAGAGACGCCGACTCCATACTCGTAAAACACACGCCGTGATCGAAAGAAGCGGGAAGAATCCTAGGAGGAAGAGACCAAGAGTTTGTAGTCCGCTATAGGGGTAGGGGCCCACTGGGCTGACGGAATAACTCGTTGCTATTGTTGACTCGTTGGACTGTGACATACCTATCGAGTCGGTTATTCAGTCTTTACCAAGACGAGGGTTGGCGAAAGTGCCAGAGGGCAAATCGAAAGCATCACATCAATAGAAGTCGCGTGTGAGATATCTGGTTGCTTGTATTGTTAGAAAAATGCGGTGACCTGAAGAAGTACGAGCAGGCAGAACCCATTGAAGGCCAGATGCTGGTCTCCCATGCCGTTTGCATTGCTCAAGGGGACGGTGAGAATGGCTTGCTTGATCACCCCAACCCAAGGGGTGCCAATGCTATGGTGCTGGGTATAAGTGGTAGAAAACGCCACACTGGCGCAGTCACACCACACCGGAAAACACTCGATGAAACAGGACAAATTGATGAAGTCAGGTAGATGTCCGGCTCCAAGGAGAGACCTGCACTGTACCTGGTTCCTTGAGTTAACCAACTTTGGCACTCGTATTCCCATCATGTTACCCTCTCCAACATGAGTATCGAACTTGTGGTCAGGTATCCAAGGAGATTGTTTGTGTTAGGAGTAAGACCTTCGAGTTCGCCGACCATATCCCAATGGCTGCATGACATACCCGTGACCCAATCCTTCCCGGTAAAGCGTGTGATCCTTCGAGGACGGACAGACCCCTTTGCGGAAGTGAGAACCATGGAATTTGAACCTGCTTGGGCGAAAGCATTTCTCCGATCCTTGTGATGGTCTCGCCCTCTGCGGCTAGTGCCGAGAAAGTGAAGTTGTCTTAGACACCTCTTCAGCAACAACTTTCGGCAGCACTTTCATCCGTTTGGGCTTGCATTGAATGGCGCGGCAATATGAACCCTTCTTGCCAGATACCTAAGGTATACTTGCTCGAGAGGTAAAATCGGATCAGGGCTGTCGACGATAGAAGAAAATGTGATAACTAAGTGATAAAACCCCGAACACGATAGATTGTTGAAAATGTTGAAAAGAGAAGGCTTTTCAGTCAGACTTGTATCTCACAAGGCAACATTTTTCTGAGCCCGCGGTCCATTACATCGTGCTTCCCGGAGCCGGAGTGCATGAGCTGTGCTGTTAGGGTCAGTTCGACTGTGGCTGTTCATGGGAACTTGACAATCCGGAGAACACGGTGGAAAGGTTTCGAGGCACTCTCGTCACAGGGAGGTATCATGTCGCGCACCGACTCTACCATAATGAGTGAAAGTAAACTTGCAAGTGAGATACCTGTAGCCGATGTTAGAAATGATTCGCAAACATAGAGTGATTTGCTTGGAAAGATGATAACCTAGACTTGCCCTTTTCAATAACATGGTACAAGTATTTTTGGTGTCTAATCAAGGAGACATGTGTAGCTTGTTGCGAATAGCTTCAGTGTTGACCAAATCGAGATGTTTGTCATCAACGGTCAGGCTCCATCATCGAAGTTTAGGCATTCGATTTCATCTGAAACCGTGACATGCCGGGGGTTTTCAACATGTCACTGACGATCATCGCCCGAAAGCCGGTGTTTCGGACACCACACTACAAAGTAGTTGCTCTAAATCTCAGTCCCGGTGAGATCCAACGGCCGCGGAGGGGTTTATTGCACTACCGCGTACAGCGTTTACTAAAAAGACCGTTGCAGTTGGGGGGAATTTTACACAAGAGCAACTCATCGCGTGAGCTTATTTTTCTCAAAAGTCGTCGACAGAGCCGAATTGGCGGCCCCACCATCACCCCTTTCATCTGCCATCTCCCGGGGCCGAGCCGTCCTTCCGGGCCTCCACACAGCGGGATGCCCCGGTGGCCAGCTCTCGGCAATAAAAGGGGAAATCGGCGGTCAGCGTATTCTTGTTGGATTGAGCAAACTTTCCATGATGGAAACAAACGAGATGGGGCGCTTCATAAGCATAGAAGGGGCATCGAAATCTTGGTCTTCGATGAAGTTCAGACCAGAGGACCCTATGATGCACAGAAATAGCTTCGAGAACAACCAGATGGAGCAGATCGATGGATCGCGACACAAGCAATGCCTGACTTTGAGATGTGCGGTCCAAGGCCAGGCCAGGGTTGGGATGGAAGATGGTGTGGGCACACCTGCTGCTCAGTACCGCCCTATTGGGATCGTTGGGGTTCTGATTCTGGCCTCTGATTGGACAGGAGATCTCTGATGTGTCGTCACCCACACTTTATGTACTGCCAGCTCAGAGCCCCTCTTCCTTTTCTGTGAGCTTGTGCCTTTTCCAAGCTTCCATCTCAAGCCTCAGTGGCCCAGCCTCCCGACTTTCTGATCCAAGTTGGGCGCTCACCAGCCCCTTCCACTTTGTTCATTTTGTGCATTGTGCTTATTGTCTCGTTGTTTGTCTGGCGCTCTGCTCGTCTGTTCGTCTGCTCGTCCGCGCAAACAGAGCAAATCAGGGCACGGGGACAGGCAGCAAGCTTGATGGCCGGAACTGATGACGGAGCTCTGTCCGTTCGTATATCTCTGCCAGGCATTAATGTTCCAAGCTCGATGTTGCACAGCCGCATGCTGCACCTCGAAGATATTCTTCAGCTTCTTCTTCGTACTACTGGCCTGTCTGTAATTAGCAACTGGTATCCTGAAATCAAAAGTCCATCCGCCCGACCGACCCGTCGACTGTCTCTATGCTTGTTGGGTCCGAAGCTGCATTGCATGGAGGCACAAGGCAGGCTGACAGCTTCGGTCTGATGAGATGGATGGATGTATAAGGCCGAGGAAGCCCAATTCATCTGGTCTTCCTCTCCTTTCAGGCCCCCTTTATCACCAACCCACCACGGCCCTGTCTTTCAAGCTTCTTTTGCTGGAGATCTCGTGGATATCCATCTCCGTTGAAACCAAACAAGCGAGAGCTGCTATGAGTCCGTGCACCCGCTAAGGCTCAGCTCTGGGCGAAACAGCGATCTCCCAATCACCGTAGCGGAGGGTGGCCCTGGCGTTGTTCCCGTCTGCTTCTACCCCCGAAATCGCGGACCTCGGGGCCGTCTTTTTTTTTGATTCCCATCTTCACCACTTCGTTCCAACTCGACAGTGGATTGAACGTCCGTTGCCAGCCATTGGCTCTCGTCCTCGCTATGTGCTTCTGACCAGTTACACTCCTTGCATATTCCCTCGTTTGAACAGCGGGACCAGACCCCTTACAGTCGTTAATCAGGCGGCAGTGACACATTTGGTGAGTGAGGTCGAAAGTGAGGTACCGCGAGGCGATCTCTCTCGGGTCGAGTGTGGGTTGGGTGTTTGGGTTTTGCGGGAGGGTCGCGATACGACACCATTGTCGTCACCGGTCGAGCTGTGCTGTGCTAATAACTAATTTGTCTAATCGTTGGCAGCATCATCTTCCGCGCACACACACACGCACACATTCCGAACGTTTTTTTGTCGCTGGACCCGACAAGTAATTGGCGCCAGATGCTCTGGGACAACGCGCCTAATCTTTATTCTCTGTTTTGGCGCTGCTGACTGCGCGCCGCTTGGATTTTGAGGGGGCGCGCATATCCGTCCAACCACCAAACTCGTTCGGCAATTTTTGGCCTTCCAGCCACGCATTTTCCAAGGTATCCAAGTCTCCCGACCTCCAGCTTTTTCGCACCTCCACGCAGCCGCAGCTGTGTCCTTTGCTGCTCTGCTCTGTTGGATCCCCCGGATGGTCTAGGACCTCACGATCTTGCTTCCATTCTTACATTCCCTCCACACCATTGTTAATTTTGCGCTTTGCGGTCTCTCAGAGCCAAGATTCCCGGCTTTCCGGAATTCCTACGGTGAGTGAAGGCCAGCTGGAAGCTCCGCAACAGCTCACACACCAACCCCACCATCATTGCATGAATCCTTGATCAGGAACAGCCTCTGATCTGGCAACCCAACAGCAGCTCCCAGCCCCGTCCCCAGACCCTTGCCACCGCCGTCACCACGCTGAGTGGTGACAGTCCCGCTTTCGCCTTGTCGACCACACCAGCCCCCGCTGGTGCTTTGGGAGACCTTGCTGCTGGCAGTCAAGAAGGTTCCCTTCGCGACCCTAGCGATTTCCACCACCCAACCTCCCCGTCTTTTTTCCAGCGCCAGCAACAGCAGCAAACCTTCCAATCTCGCCCCGGCACTGTCACGCCCCAGCAACGCGAAGACAGATCCCCCACACCGTCTTCACACAGGACTCTCCGTCGCACTCCGCGCTTCTCGGCTACTCCCAGTCCACGACCTTCCGAGACCCAGCGCCGACCGCACTTTGAGGCAGCCGCCGGTGGAGCTGTCCCACCGCCGATATTCTCTCTTCCCGGTGCTCGCAACAGCTTTGGTCAACCCGAACAGGTATTCAGTCCCCTTCGACGACAGCTCTCCCAGGATCTCAGTGACGACGACGAAGAGACCTCCACTGTCTTGCCGTATCTCTACGGTCACCAGCGCCTTTCTTCCTCTACCAAGGACAAGCCGCCTCACCCCCTCCTTAGCCTCTCCAAGCAGACCCAAAGCGCCATCCTTTGGACCCTTGAGGAAGCACTTCGCCAGCCCAATTCGTTTTCGCCTGACTTTGTCGAAGAAAACGCTTCGATGGCCGACCTTCTTGCTGGTAGTGGCCCTACCACCACCAATGGCAATGGTTTTTCAACCGGTGATTGCACAGCTCTCAAAGACGGTGCTGTC